CTCCCAATGTGGGCCATCTGCCTTCTTTTTCAAGTGGTCTTGCTCTGTCACCTAGACTGGAGTTCAGTGGCACGATCTGAGTTACTGCAGCCTCAACCTCCTGGGCTCAGGTGATCCTCCCACCTCAGCCTCCCAAGTAGCTGGAAATACAAGTGTGAGCTACCATGCCCGGCTAATTTTTTAATGTTTCGCAGAGATGAGCAGAGCCAAGGCCCGGAAGACATGCCAGATCCTGTTTTCTGGCCCAGGAGAGCTGGCACAGCTGACAAAGAACCATTACATGAAGCATCCTGTGCTGCCCTGCATTTACAAAGATGGGTACAAATCCCCAGACAACACAGAGTGAGTAATTGGCACCCAAGCCAAGCTTCTTTGCAAGTCTGGCTGCAATGGCTCACATGAGAGGGGGAAGGGGCTTCTCTTCTCAGAAGGCCAAGGGAGCAGGGTGAGGGGCTTCCCTGCCACTTGTGTCCTGCCAAGTGAACACCCAGCACTGCTGCAGTCAGATGCTTTCTTGGAAACAGTCCTAAGACGTCTTCCATGTGACATGACACGCATCTACAGCAGGGGTCACAGAAACCTCTACCCCAGTGAAGACACCTCCACCCCATGTGCCACATCAGGCCACTGTGTGATCTCACAGATCCCTCCCCCAGCTAGCAAGTCAAGGTAGCAGTGCCCCGTGAAGCCTTGCTCCACCTGCTGCCCACCCAACACTCCTGAAGGGCTTCTGTGGGTCCCTGTCTTCCCCTCACCCCTGTTCCACAAGGAAGGCAACATTTGCTCTGCTTCACAGGCACCCTAGACCCAGAGAGAGGAAGGGCTGGTCCCATACAGGTCTGGCTGTAAAGTGCCCCAACCCCTCAGACAAGCGCATGCAGGCCTGGCAGCTGGAGGTCTTAGAAGTTGGAGGCTGGAGGCCTCTGAGGCTGGAGGCTGGAGTCCTTGGAGGCTGGAAGCTCTGAGTTCACCCTCTAAGCAGCCTAAACGGGATGCTTGCTGCATTCTTAACAGGCCTGCTGCTGCCACCCAGAGGAATGTGATAGAGCGACATGAAAGGGATCACTACAAGTTGGAACCTAGACTCCTGGGACCAGAGGCTGAGGGTGTTACTAGCTACTCTTGTCCTGCGCCCTGCAAGGGAAGAGGGAGAGAAGGAAAGGCCAGTAATGAGGGGAGGGAGAGGAGAGGCAGGGCTGAGAGAGGGAGGGGGAGCAGATGGAGGAGGGAGAGAGAAAAAGAGGCTCTGAGGCCTGCTGTGGTGAGACAGAGGGAGAGCCCCAGGAGGCAACGCCAAGCCTTCAGAGACCAGCATCATGCATGGGCAATGTCTCGCCTGGGACTCCATCACATCCTCGCCTGGGTGGGGTAGGGGACAAGGCTCCCAAGGGTTCCAGCAAGTCCTGCACATAGAGAGCCAGCACTTCCCTGGCGGCAGCACAGTGGTAAGAGGATGAGGTGGGACACCTGGAACCCAGGCTTGGCATGCAGTAGCTGGTCACACCAAGTGTAGACCCTTCTGTGTAGCAGGGGCAAGGTCCCGACGCCACCAGTGCACAGGGAGGGGCAGTGATGGTGGGAGGACGTCACCACCAACTGTGTGAAAGCACACAGTAGACATGAGTGTGTCACCAGGACCAACAGCATCAGAAAGGGTGGGAATGGGTCCAGGCATCCAGACGTTGGAAAGAGATGCTGAGTTCACCAGGTGAGCAGTCACCTCAGAACAGGTGGATGTCCTAAGAGAATAAAAATAAACCCTTGGGGTGATGACAGGAATGCCAGGTTCAGAGGCAAGTTTGCTTCTAAAGAAAAAAGATGCATTTGACCCATTTCCACCTGTCACTGCCAAACTCTCCTACTCAGCATGTTTTTTTTTCTTTCCTTTTTTTTTTTTTTTTACTTGGGGTCTCACTACTCTGTCTTCCAGGCTGGAGTGCAGTGGCACGTTCACGTACCATATCCTCAACCTCCTGTGGTCAAGTAATCCTCCTGTCTCAGCCTCCCAAAGTGCTGGGATTACAGGCATGAGCTGCCGCACCCAGCTACATTGCATGTTTTTACTACTGAAAGCTGGTCAGTTCCATCTACTGTGCCCTCCATTTGCAGATAAGAAAAGTGCAAAGGGAACAACAGGGAGCAAATACGGTGAAGGTGGGACTGTGGGGTCCCCTGGTGCTTGGGGATAGCTGCCTCCAGTCCGGCCCCGAAAGATGGAGCTGCCACACCCACTGAACACCGACCATCGACCTCCACATGGCTCCTAGGCCTGGGCAACCCTAGTGTGAGTCAGCGGCTGGGCAGCACACGGGTTATCTGAGACCTCCCAGGCTTCTCTCCTTCTGCCCATGCTGTGGTCTCAGCACCAGCCCTGATCCCACCTCCCAAAGATGACCTCTCACCACTGTGGTACGTTCCCAGCCTCCAGAACTCTGTAGTCACTGGGAGCTCGAGAACACCTGGCCCGACCGTGACTGTCCTTAGAGTCCCGAGAGGAGAGAAGGGACAGGAGAAGACGAGAAAGGCCCCCAGTGGGCACTCCCAGTGGGCACTCCCTGAAGGCCACAGCAGCAGACATTGCCTTGACCTTGGCTAAACGGAACAAGAGACAATGGAACAAAAGACAAGCCCTAAGCAACCCATACATCTGTCATCCAGCGTGGCCTCCCATTGTTATTTCCTGGATGGGCCCGGTAGGCAGCCAGTGCCTGATGCCTCAGGGTGACATCAGAGCCCAGAGCCTCCCTTCCCTTCCTCCTCCCCAGAACAGGCCTCAAAGGTGGAAACAAACCACCGAACCCTCACATCAACCCTGCACAAACAGTGGCAATCACAGGTGCCCTGCACCACTCTCGGTGATCTAAGGAACCAACAGAGCCTGGCCTTCCAAATCTGCACATGTCACAGGCTGAGGTTCCTCTGGAATAACCACCATTGACCAAGAGAAAGAAGAAAAAGGTCATAGAAAAGTATTCCATCCCCTTTCTTCTCTCTCTCTTTATGACAGCAAGGACAACCGCAGTTGGCGACAGATAGGACCATGCTCAGGAGCCTCATGCTGAGGCCACCATGAGGCTCTGCCCTTGGGACATCTGTCGGGGCCTTGTATGGCTGTGCTGAGCTGTGCCAGGGCCTTAGGAGCCAAGCAGGCCCTTCTCATGAACAGTTTAACAGGACATGGAAAACAAGTGTCATTTTCAACTACAGGAAATGGCTGTATGCAGCTCTGGTACTAGGTGAGGAAGCCCTACTAGCACAAGCTACGCCCAAGGTCGGCGGCTCTGAAAAACAAAGAGGGAGGAAGTCCGCAGCTCATCTTCCAAGGCTGGGATTTGTGTCCCCCCTGCCATTTGAAGCACTGCTGGACCAGACCCAGAGAAAGGGATAGAGCTCTAGATCACTCCTACGAGGAAACAGGTTCTAGACCATTCCTAGAGAAGGAGACAGGGCTCTAGACCACATCTAGGATGGGACAGAGTTCTAGACCACTCCTAGAGAAGGGGATGGGCTCTAGACCACTCCTAGAAGACAGGAAGGGCTCTAGTCCACTCCTAACAGAGAGGACGAGCTCTAGACCACTCCCTGAGAAATGGGTAGGAGAGAACAGGCTTTAGACTACTCCTAGGAGAGGACAGATCTCTAAACTATTTCTCAGTAGGGGACAAGACTCTAGACCACTCCTACAATAGGTGACAAGGCTCTAGATTACTCATGGAAGGAAACAGGACTCTACAGCATTCCTAGAGACAGGGACATAGCTTTACATACTCCCAGAGGAAGTGACAGGCCCTAGAGCACTCTTAGGAGAGAACAGGCTTCTACCACTCCTAGAGGAGGGGCCAGAGTTCAAGACACTCCTACAGGAGGAAACAGGGCTATGGACAATTCTTAGAGTAGGGAACAGAGCTCTAGAGTACTCCCAGAGGAGGAAATAGGCCCTAGAGCACCCCTAGAGAAGGGGGCAGGGCTCTAGACCACTACAGTAGGGAAGAGGGTTCTAGACACTAGAGGAGGGGATAGGGTTCTAGACTACTGCTAGCGGAGAGGACCAAACTCTAGACCATTCCTAGGAGTGAACAGACTCTAGACCACTCCTAGAAGAGGGAACAGGGCCCTAGACCACTCTTTGAGTAGGGGACAGGGTTCTAGACCACTACTAGTAGGGGACAGGGCTCTAGACACTCCTAGACGAGGGAACAGAGTTTTAGAACGCCTAGAGGAAAGGACAGAATTCTAGAACACCTAGAGGAGGGGACAGGGCTCAAGACACTCCTAGAGAAGGGGACAGGGCTCTAGGTCAGTTCTAGAGGTGGGGAAAAGCTGGGGTCTCCCAGGTAGAGCAGAGGGGGCTACTGAGGAGCCAGATACCTACTGTTGATCTTCATTCACATCGATCCTGCAGCACCAGGTGAAACAAAGACATGAAACAGATTGGAACAGAATCAGCAGATTTCTCATGTGAGCAACACAAAGTGGAAAGCAAACATCAGTGTGCTCGAGAGCTGTTCCTTCTTGTCTCACACCTTTCTTACCCTCTTCAAGGGCAGCTCAATTTGGAATGTCTCTGTTGTTCTCACAGCCACATGCACCCTCATAGAGCCCACTGAGCTGGGCAAATCCAATTATTGGAGCTGACTGGCCACGGACAGAGAGATGCCGCTGCGTGCCAGGCCTCCAATTTGCTAGCTTTTCCCTCAACAAGTGGGTGGCCTGTGTGGTGCCACGTACACGAGGAAGGGAGTCAGAAAGCTCCATTCCTGTCACCTTCCCCAGGCCCGCTGCTTCATCCTTGTGACTCACCTACCACCTCCCATCTCTGGAAAGCAAGAGAGTCAGCTGGAGAAGAGGCAGAAAGAGCCAGTGTTCATTCGTTTTTAAAAACATCCCAACTGTAGTTCTTAGTGACCACTGCTTTACTCTAATACCTGAATGAAGATGGTGTTCAAGGCTTTCTGTGTTCCTTCCTTCAGACATGGATGAGAAAAGTGCAGAAGGCTTACCCGTTTTTGAAATAGAGGACATGGGCTCTCTGAAGTCCCGTTTCCAGGAAGAAGCCTAGTTCTTGATCATGGGGAGCTGGGCCAGGCTTGGGGCTTCTGTTCTGAATATTAGTGAGTATCACCTGGAAGGGGAGAAGACCGGACACTAGTTAGATACTATCATGCCACCTCTTCCACACCCCTTCTCTACATGCACTGCATGTTGGGGGTCAGCCTGTCAGCCTCCTCACACAGGCTGTGCAGGACATGGTGTGGGAGGTAACACCAGGGGAGCAGAGATGCAGAGATCATGGCCCAACTAGACAGGGCACGACCAGCAGCTGGGCACACATGGGTCTTCTGGTGCCGAGAGCTGGTCAGGGGCGCTGATGCACAGATGATGCCAGGAGAGGCAAGGGACAGGCCTGCTGAGTGCCAGACAAAGGGAGGCTGAGCAACATGGGGCAGGTCCCGCATGGGGGATAGTCATCTGCCATGGCTGAGGAACCTTCAGCCCCACAAGCTTGACTTGCTCAAGATGGGCTGGGCAGGGCTACGGTTGCACCGGCATGGAGTTAGCCAGGGAGTGTGGGCTGGAAGTGGTCAACTGCTCTCCAGGGAGAGCTGAGAACAACGCCAAGGCCTCCCTCCCCAGTCGTGGCCTCTTATCTCAGCAACAGACAACAGGGGTTTGAAAAGTATAACTTTTCAGCCCTGCAGGAGAGATTGCCAACTGCTGGGGCAAAGGACTTGCAGGTGGAGTGGGTTACAGGGACTCATACACGCCTGGTTGCTCTCGTGCAATGCACAAGTCAAATAAGGTATTTCTCAGCTAGGCCTACTGGGGCATGTTTAGAAACAACACCCGTGTCCTCAAACACACTGTCCACATTTGCCAAAATCTGCAGCTCTGCAAAAGGCCCAGGGCTTGGCCAAGCCCAAATGTCCTGGATGTCCTGAGCCATCAGGGTTCCAGCCCGCAGGTTTTGGGGAAGAGCCAGGAAGCAGGAGCACAGGAATAGGACATGGAGGGACGCAACCCAGGCACAGCCCTCAGGGTAGACTCCATCCTAGATCATCTCAGAACTGTTGGTACTGCCCCGACGTGGCCCTGGCTCTGACACCACATGCCCCAGAAGCCCCTCCTCCTGGGACCTTAGTCCCACCCCACAGGCTCTTCCTCCACATGTCCTCCAGTACTGAGGATGTGGGCACCATCCTAGACATGCTTCTATTCTTTCTTGGGTCTCTCTCAGGATGACCTCAACTTCAAACATGACCAGCCTGCTGCCAACAACCAGACTCTGTGAGTTGTTGGCTCGTACGTCCACCACTCCATGTGAGGGCCAGCTCTGAGGTTTTTGTAAATCACTCTTCATTTGCTCTGGGACATAATTTAAAATTTTGAAATGTCATGATAATTTTAAAGCAAAAACAATTCAAAATAGCACAAAAAACAAAACAAAAAGTCACCACACAACTCCATCTCACAGAAATATCCATAGCTAACACTTACTGAATGAATCCTGGTATCTTTGTGTGTAAATCACTTTACAAAAATATGAGATTATGTTATATGTGCTAGGGTGTTTTTTTTGTTTGTTTTTTGAGTCGAGGCCCAGGCTGGAGTGCAGTGGTATGATTACAGCTCACTGCAGCTTTGACTTCCTGGGCTCAGGCGATCCTCCCACCTCAGTCTCCCAAGTAGCTGGGACTGTAGGTGTGCACCACCATGCCTGGATAATTTTATGATTATTTTGTAAAGATGAGCTCTCACTATGTTGCCCAGGTTGGTCTCAAACTCCTGAGCTCAAGCAATCCTCTCATTTTGGCCTCCCAAAGGGCTGGTATTACAGGCGTGAGCCACCACGCCTGGCCTATATATACTAGTTTTAAATGTAAAATATTACATTGAATTTAGTTAAACTTAACAGAAGAAACTAAAGTGTAACCAAATTAATCACTCAACTTCAGAAAAAGTCTTTTTCACATAGTTCATAAAAAGTATCTCTCAAGTTAAAAATGTTACATCTGGTATTCCAACTGGCTATTCTTGTAATTTCCATCTCTCTGCTAAAACTGCCCCCTGTTCGCACATGCTTACACCTCCTCATGACACCCTTTCACATGTCAATCACAGCTGTCTGATAACTCTAACACCTGGGTCCCTTCTGGGTTTGGTTCTGGTGGTGGCGTCACCTATTTGCAGGGGTTTGTTCCTTTTTTTGGTGCATCTTGTAATTTCTTATTTAATGGTGAGCATTGTGCTTTGAAAAAAGCAGATTATTAAGATCCACACCCAAAAACGGCCTCTTTCTTCCATCAGGCCATAATTGTGGGGGTGGGGTCACCCTCCAGCTGCTGGGTACAGCCACGTTCTGCTGCTTCTAAGTCATTTCCAGTTCACCATGGACTCCAGACCCTGCCAGTAGCAGACTACTCGCACAAGTGTTCCATAGGCCCTGGGAACCAGGACACCCCCTCTGTATCCGGCAGGCCTGTGCTGGGCCCAGGGGGGTCTCTCCAGGCTCATGTCCTGCCCGGCACTCTGTCGCACTCCCCATCTGGGCTGTGCCTTTTGGGGGAGCTGGGGACAGTGCTTCCTGGTTCTCTGGACCAGCCTCCACCGTGGGATGGGCTCTTCTCCAAGGACCGTGCTAGGTGGCCCCTCCCGACCCTCGGATGCCTTTCCAGGGAACAGCCACCACATGTCCATCCCAGGAAGTCTTGAGGTCTTGCCCAAGACTCAGTTGACATCCCCAGAGCCAGCTGCTGTGTCGGACGTCTCCTCTGCTCCCGGGTCCCTGATAACTCTCATATGTGCCAGGTCTATCCATCCCTACCACCTCATCTATATCACCGTCACTTCTTGAGGTCCCTACAGCAGTATCCTTGGTGGGGTTGCCATGTCCTCTCTTGCCTCCTCGCCTCCCTCCACCCTCCACGTGAAGCCTGAGAAATTTCTTATAACATAATCCTGATGGTGCTGCTCTGACGCTCCTTCTCCTATCTCAGGTTCCAGCCTGACTGTCACTCCTTAAGGGCCTTCCCCAGCAAGCCACAAGAAGCAGGGTTGCCCGCCTGCCCCCTGTGGCACCTGTTCCAGGCCCTCACTGCACTCATTGGGTGCTTTTCCACTTGCTTAGTGGGCATCTTTGTCCATGGAGCCACCAATTCCACAGCATCAGGGGCCATGCCTATTGTGTCTACTGACATGTACACCCAGTGCCTGTTGCAGTGTCTGAAGCAGGTAACCTCTCAGTGTTATCCAGTGAGGGAGGAAGTGGATACACTCTCAGGGCTGACTGGAAATGTAGGGAAGAGACAGGAGGAAGGCAACCCACCACCATCACCCTCTCCTCACTGAGGGGACAAGCTACAGGGCCACTGAGTTAGGGTCAGTCTACACCACTGCCCAGCCCCCCTTGGGTCTGTGTCTGCTTGCAAAGCCTGTGAGGGCTAGGCTACATGCAGGGAAAATGGGAAGGCATGCAGGGACAGGCTGCCTGGGGCCGACTCAAAGACCCAGCAATCTGAGTCCCCCTCCTCACCACGAGCCTCCACACATAGGCCCAGCGGGAGCCACATGGCAGAGCTGAACTCGTCACTCGTTCTGGGGACAGATGCTCCCTGGACAAGACTGCCAGCAAGTGCCAATAACAGGTGCAGCCTGCCCTGGCTCAAGAAGGTACTCGGCCACCGAGAGCCGGGCAGCATGGGGAAGGGCCAGGAGGTCCGGGCTCGAGGTCTGGCTCCAACACTCCTCATCATGTGTGGACTTGACACAACTCTGAGTTTGCAGCCTTCACTGGCCTCATCCATAGAGCAGGAATGAAGCTTGCCTTGCACAGTGGGCTGGAACCACAGGTGAGAAGCTTAATGAGAATACCATCACTCTTCATGCAGATACAGCAAAGAGTCGCCTTCAAACAGGACCAAAGTAAGGATGTTCACTGTCATCTTGATTCTTTAACATTGCTTTAGAAATTTGGTATTCAGGCATGAGAAAGATACAAGATGGAAAATATCAGAAAGGAAGAAATAAGAAAAAAATCATCCCCCTGCTACAGATTCATGTACCTAGAAAAATGAAAAGAATCAATTCTGCTTCTACAGAGGAATTTGGCCTCGTGGCCTGTAATTGCATCCTTGCTGTCCTCGGCACTGCCAACCTGGTCACCTTTCTCAGGAGCTATCCTTGAGCCTCCACACGTGTCCACGCCTTCCTCTGGGCTTGCGGAGCTCCGAGTGTTCCCACCCAAGCTCTGCCTGCAGGATCTGACCTGAGTCCTCACGAGATGCTATTCCCAAGCACAGCATGCAGGACACAGAAGGCACTAAATATGTGTCAGTGTAAGTGAACCAAAACATCATAAGCATTTTCTTTTTGACTCAGGGTCTCACTCTACTGCCCAGACTGAAGTGCAGTGGCATGATCATGGCTCACTGTAGCCATGACCTCCTGGGTTCAGGTGAGCCTTCCTTTTCAGCCTCTTAAGTAACTGAGACTATAGGTACATGCCACCATGCCTGGCTAATTTTTTGATTTATTGCTGAGACAAGATCTCACTATGTTGCCTAAGTTGATCTCGAACTCCTAGGCTGAAGCAATTCTCCCTCCTTGCTCTCCGAAAGTGCTAGGATGATAGGTGTGAGCCATCATGCCCAGCCCATATGCATTCTTATAGGTAAAAATACAATGAAAAAAGTGATCCTATTCAAAGCAATGAAAATGGTAAAGATCTGAATTTAAAAAAAACTACTGAAATCTGTAAAACAAAAAATCTTGGCAAAACAGGAATGGAGTCATAGATGAGGGAAGACTAACTATAATTCTCTAAATTAACATGTGAAACTAATACAAATTCAACCAAATCCCAACAGGATTTTTCATGAACTCAACAAAAGTACTCAAAAATCCATCTGGAAGCTTAAAGAGAAAAGAAAAAAGGATATTCTGCAAAAACAAAGTAATAAGTTGTTACTAATCCTTCAGATGTTAAAACCCATCATCAAAAAGTGCTTAATAAACCGTGTCATGTTGGTGCAATACCAGATTAGCAGCACAAAACAGGAAAGCCAGAAATGGTGGTAGTCTCTAAAATGTTACTGAATGACTAAAAATACATGACAGAAAATATGA